CCCCTGGGATAACAGGCGTGGGCCACATGCCCAGCAGGGGCCAGCCTGGATCCCGGGGATCTCTTCCCACCGCAAAGCTCCCCCTTGCTAGCTTTACCTGGCCCGCATCTGCCGACATCTCCAAGCTCCAACCTGTGCCCCTGAAACTCCTGATTCTTACCACCTGACCATCTCCGATGCTTCATGAGCATCTCACACCCAAGGTGCCCCAGATCACACTCCGGTTCCCTCTGGCCAGCTCTTCTCAAATCTTACCCTTCTCAATACCAAGCAGCTCCAAGGTTAGAGTCGTCCTTGACTTTGCTTTTTCTCTCACATCCCACATCTAGTCTATCTGTACCTCTCGCTGGCTGTGCCTCCAAAACACATCTATGATCCAAGCCCAGCCTCACACCTCCACAGTTCCCATCCTGATCGAGAGCAGCAGCCTCCTAACGGGCCTCCCTCCTTCCATCCTGGCTATACTGATCCTTTTAGGACGTCAGATGACATCACTCTTTGGACCAAAGCCTTTTTAAGGCTTCTCACACCACGCAGAGCAAAACCAAAAGTTCTTAGGATCCCCTGCAAGACCAACCATATGCCAGGACCACTCCAGTACCTCTCTGATCTCCTGTTGGTCACTCTGCTCTAGCCACGCCAGGCACACTCTGCCTCAGGGCCTTTGAACTTGCTGCCCCATGAGGCACATTCCCTTGTTGCCCCATGGAGCGTCCCCTGACCATGCATATAAAGTGCAACCACCCCCTGCCCTCTCCCCATCACTGTCACTTCACTATTTGCTCTCTATGGCACTTGTCAGTCATCAGAAAAATTATGTGTCTACTTGTTCATTTACTCAGTGTTCAACTCTGCTGGAAGGACCAAGGCTTTACCTGTTGTTTGCTACCATTTTCTCAGAGCCTAGACTAGCGAGTAGCACGGGTTCAAGCTCCTGCTGAACGAGGGATGGAATGGGCCTTGAACTCAGCCCTGGATTCATACAGAAAAGGGAAAAAAAAGGGGGGGGGGTGCTTCTTAATCCAAGCTCTCCAAGTTTGACACCAAGTATTTCCCTATATCTTTATCCATTCTTTATAATTTCATGAAGAAGCATCGCAGCTCCTGGCCCAGACTGGACTCCCAGGCCTGTCCTCTCGCACCGCCTCAGAGACGTGATTCTATCAATCTCTCATTCTTCTCCTCTTTGTTCCTCTCCTTCCTCCCGTCCTCAGCCTCCTCTGCTCCGTCCTTCACCTGAGAGCATTCCCACGACTCCAAGCTCTCCAGAAAGCTCTGATGTCTTGCTGACCTCTTTGGCTGCCCTTCTCTCCCCTTTTATCATGAAACCACTCCAAAGAGTAGTTGGCACGCTGTCTTCACTCCATCCCCACTCCCTCCTGTCTGGCTTCTGTCACCAGCACTCCACTAAAACTATGCCTTTGAAAATCACCAGGCCCCCTAATTGGCAAATCCAGAGGCTTAGTCTCTTGCTCCTCCTCCTCCTCCTGGTGTCTCCAGTGAACACTGCTCACCTCCCCACCCCTCCTCCTTGAAACCCTTTACTCTCCTGGCCTTGCGATGACACATTGTCCTGGCTCCTGTCACCACCCTGAGCATCGTTCTCAGACCCCCTTCCTAGCCTCCCTTTCTTCTCATGGCCACTCTAACCTAAGTTCTTTTCCTTCCATGATCGTGACACAGAGATCTCATTCATGCCCAGAGCTCTAACCTCCACCCTTGTGAGGAAAATCCCAAAGTCTGCAGTCTTCCCACTCGGTCAAGATCCAACTCCATCAGCCATGTGTGGAGGCTCCGCTGACCCCTCAGACCCTGCAGCTTCGTTAACCACGCTAGCCAGCTCACAGGGTGAGGCAACCACGGTGCTTTTCAGCCATCCTCGATCCCCCCGACTGTCAATCAATCTGTGATTGACTGGCCCTACTCCCACTGTGGCCGTGACACCATCTCTTCTTTTGGATGCCCATGGTCGGCATCCTAATCTGGTCCCCATTACCAAGGTGATCTAATAAGCTCCCAGCCTCTCCCAGGTCAAAATCTCTCCCATTTGTATTCTTCCTGCCCGGTCTCACCAGACGCACCTTCCTGAACTCCAGCTGTGTGGCACATCCCCCTGCCTAACCACAGGAATGATTTCCGCTGTTGGTAAGTGGTAAACTTCAAGCTCCTTAGGCTGGTATTTAAGACCATCCCGAGACAGACCTCTGGCTGCCTTTCCTGAGTCTCCCTCTAACAGTCTATGAGGCTCTCCACATACTCACTTTCTTCAGACATTTCCTGTGCCTTCCTATCCTTGCCACCACCTTCCTATCTCTGTGTCCACTGAGTCCTCAATCACTTTCAAATCCTATCCATCTTGCAAGGTTGTTTAACACCATCCCCCACACAGCTGCCCCGGCCTTTCCAGCTGCTAGTGACCTCTTCTCTCCCACAGAGCTTTCTCCATACCTCTTTTATTATGAATGACCTCATCTTAAAGTTCTAGTTCTCCCCACCACCCCAGCACTAAACTTGAGACTCCTTAAAGATAAGATCCATATCTGATTTCCAGCATGCACTGAAATCTCTACCTCTCAGGCATCCAATATCAGTCCAATCACAGAATCAGGAACATAAGATACCTCCACTGTACTCCTCAACTCTCTTATTTCTTTTTCTTGTCTTATTGCACTGACGGGGAATCCAATACAATGTTAAATGATCGTAGTGATAATAGACATCCTTACTGTGTTCCCATGGCTATAACAGGAATGCTTCCAACATTTCACAAGGAAATGTGGCATGTGCTATAGATTGCTACTGCCTTCTCATTTTCAAGTTAGGAAAATTGTCCCTACATTCTCTAAGATTTAATCGGAAATCAGACATGAACAGTAGTTGGATCAAAGTGGAATGAACCAAACAGAGTGCCGAGTTATAAAAGACAGCTAAGGTGGGGAGGAAGACCTAGGGGATAAAAACCAAGAGAAACCAGATCAAGTTCATGGCCATGAAGAAGTTCTCCCTCAGATCTGAGCTTCCTAGTTACTCATGTGACCACTTAAGTTCCAACTTCCCGCAGCAGAATGTTGAAGGAGCAGGAAGAACTGATGCTGAAAGTCTATCCTCCCTGCCTCCCAGAAAGTCCTACACATTGATCTTACTTGAGTGCCCTTCAGTACCATGAAGGGCTACTAAGGAAATTCTGCACGCAGAGCCTGCTGACATAAGAAATTCTGTTCATGACAGGGTACAGACCAAAGAGGCGAATTCAGAGCCCTGGGTACCAGATCCAACTACCCTCTCTATCCATCTCACCCCTTCTCCTGAGTCATTTGTGGTTGGTAGACAAGATGGTAATGGGCCTATTAGGTAAAGGGACCCTCTGCCAACAATGCCCTCCACCAACCCCATGGCTTCATGAAAGCCAAAACCTGAGAGGCTACAGGATATGGAAGTTGGCAGCCAAGACTGCAGAGGCTGGTTGAGGGGAGACCCACTATCAGATGGACCTCCCACCAGGGCTTGAGCAGTATGGCTTCCTCTGGACCAAGCTCCAGGAGAGCTCTAAGGGAGGGTTCTGGGAGATAAAGAAATTCATTCTGTGTCCTCCCCAGAGAAGTCCCCTGGATCCTATTCATCATTAGACCAGAGCATCACTATTCTTCAGGCCACTTCAACACTGGGAGGGGAATGGCATTCCCAGGAAATTTGGGTGGCCCTGTTGTCCCTCTTGCCTCAACAAAACTTGGAGGAAATGGGTTGGTTTCGACAGACAAAGCAGTCAGGAAGGTGCCCTTAAGTCACGGCCCAGATGTGGGAGGAAGCAGAAGTCAAGCCCCAAATGGATCACCCACGGCGCATCTCACCCGCGGAGGGTCAGGGATGCTCAATCCTGGGTTTGGTGCTTGGTTAAAGCAACGAAGGCCTCCTGCCCCAGCTCTCCAGGGTTTCTGCTCTGCCCTGAAGTACAGCAGCACCCGGGGCACCCAGGGCCTGGCCCAACCCAAGAGCCAGCTGGCCTCTGTGAGCTGCTTCCCCATGATGCCCAGGAGGGTGCCTCCCTTCCTCCCTGCAGCTGGCACAGTGACTCAGCTTCCCATACATGTAGTGGAGGGCAGAGCCAGCTGCCCAGCCTGCCTTCCCCTCGAGCTTCACCCGCTGTCAGCTGAGGGCTGGGCACGAGGCCCACCCCACCCCAGTCTCGGGGCCACCCCTGTCCGGCTTTCGCCTCACAACAAAGTCAACTGTGAGGATTCCCCCCAGCCTGGCTGTCCCTGGGAACGGTCATAAGCTGTGGCAGGTGGGCTGTGTCCCTCCCGGTGAGGCCTAGACACTGGCTCTTTCTTGCCTTTTTCTCCCCAGTAGGTTCTCCTGGCTTCGCACTCTCTCTTCCCTCTGTAGGTGTCTTTCTGGATTTGCTCTGATAGGAAGAGGAGCTGGTCCTAGGCAAGGACTAACGGGAAGCTAACCGGGAAGGGGACCTCGGCCCCTCACAAAAACAAACCTGAAGGCCCTCACCAGGCTGAACACTCAGATAGAGCCCGAGGGCTTCATCATGGCCTCGGGAGGGTCTAAGAGGGAAACTGAGTCCACAGAGACCTCCCTCCGCCTTCTCCTACCCCAAGGACCTGAAGTCTGAGGACAAGAAGCACGGCAGGCAGGCTCATAGTCTCCTCTCCACCTAGAAAGTCTGGACTCCTGAGTCACCACCTCCAGGAAGCTCTCCCTGGTTGCCCGAGGTGGGATGTTATGCTTCCCTGAGCTCTGGGGCTCGGTCTCACTTCTGTCCTAGCACACACTGTACTCTTTTGGAATTACCTGGCTATGCCTGTCCCCTGACAAGACTGCAGACTCTTTGAGGTGTAGATACAGGAAGGGTGGCTGGGCCCCAGCTCCTGAGAGCCTCCCCAGGCCACAGCAGCAGTGCACCTCCCCCAGCAAGGCCAACGGAGACCCGAGGGAAGGGCAGAGGGAGGAAGGAGGGAATGTCCACGTCTGAGGGCCCCTGAGGCTCTTACCTGCTATTCGGTGGGCCACCAGCCCTTCCAGGTTCAGTGGCTCCTCCTCTGGGGTTCGGGAGGGCTCTGAGGCCACTTCCTTTGGTGGGAGCTGAGGCTGAGTGGTGAGGCCAGGGAGAGAGGCTGGGGGCTGCTGAGGCCCTGGGGGGCCATGGGCGGTTGGAAGGAAGGATGAGGAGGCTGGGCTCTTTGGACGGAAACCCTGGTTGGACGCAGCTGGACCCGACTGATAATCGTAAGGTGAGTAAGACCTGCCAGGAGGGGCCAGCTCGGGGGTTCCCAGGGAGTGCCCACCGGGGATGGAGCCAGATCTGGACTGGGTCAGTGGATGAGACTGGCGGGAAGAGCCCGAGAGGGGTTGGGAGGAGAGTGGGGGAGCCCCTGGCCAGGCACCAGGGACACTCTGGGACTTGTGCAGGGGGGCGGCGGCCGAGACTGGCTCAAGGTCCAGCATGAGCATGTTGAGCGCTTCGATGGACTGCTCAATCTCCTGGTGAGAGGCCGCCCTGGGGAATTCTGGGAGAGCAGAGGCTGGGGGCTCTGCCAGCGGCTGGGGGCTGGGCCTGCCGGTCGCAAGGCTCTCCAACTGGGCTCTTTCCTGCTGGCGAGGAGGTTGGCGAGGCTGCGGCGGCGGCTGCTGCTGCCATGAATTCAGCCCCCTCTGCACGGCCTCCCGGCTGCTGCCCCCACGGGCTGGAGCTGGGGGCAGCTGGGGCTCGGCATCGGGGAAGGACTGAGAGCGGAACATGCCGCTGGGGTCATGGCCGTAGTGGGAGGTGGTCACTGCCTGGGGCCAGACCGGGTGGGGCCCCTCCCGCTGGTAGCCAGCTAAGCCCTCCTGTGCCGAGTAGGAGGGTCGCATGGGGGCCACGTGGCCAGCATGGGCAGGCACTGCCCGGCTGGCGTTCTCATAGGGGTAGCCCCCGCCATTGACCAGAGGTTCCGCAGGGTGGGCCTTGTCCAGGCCGTTGGTTAGTGGGGGCAGGGCTTCTGGGTAGCCCCCCTCGCTGGTGTTGGTGATCCCGTCCAGAGAGGACAGCGTGCCCATGCTGCCCACGCTGTGCCCATCCTGGTTGGGCAGCTCATCATCCAGGATGTCTGTCTCCCGCTCAGAGGCCAAGGCCCCGCCGTTGACATGGACCTGGGCTGGGACAACGTGACGGCCCGAGGGAGACACAGCTGGGCCGGCGGCCAGGCGGGACCTGAGGTGCTGTGCGCGGTACATGGCGCCCTGCTTCTCTCGCTCTAGGCCAAAGCCGCTGAGCAGGCGATCCAGCTCCCTCTTCTCTTCGGGACTCAGGGCAGCGGGGGCACCGGAGGCCCCGGGGACAGGCTCATCGGTCTTGTCGGTCTTGGTGGAGGCTGTGGAGTTGCCCGAGTCACTGCTCACGGAAAGCGTGTGCTCCACGTGGTTGGGGGTGGCCGACAGGACAGGACGCGCGGCGTTGACGGCCCCGGTGCTGCCGTTCAGGGAGTCCTTCTTCTTCACCTTGGCGTACAGACTCCCGTCCAGTGGCCCCTGGGTATGTCCCACCACCTCTGCAAAGACAGAGCAAGGAGACGGCAGATGTCACCGGCAGGCAGCTGTTCCCACAAGGAAAAGAGTTAGAGCCCCATCTGGATCCCGGAGTCTCCTCTTGCCACTCTGAGGAGGCACAAAGGAAAGGGACAAAGGTCCCTACCACACAGGGCCAGGCAGCAGAGCCTAGGACTGGGCAAGGAGTCCTGAGGGCAAACGCCCACCCAGGCCCATCTCTGGCTTTTCACCAGCTTCCTGGACACAGAGGCTTGAGTTACTCTCTGGGCCTCAGTGTCCTCGTCTGTACAATAGGACAATAATAGAATCAGGCTGGACCCTATGAACTGCCACTATTCATTGAACACAGCAGGCTACATGTTGAAACGAGCCGACACAAGTCGAGCTGAGCCGTGTCGGGTCCGTGGCCAGAGAGCTGTGTCCATCCTGAGGACCATCCATTCCTGAACGGTGACGTGCACAGCACAACCATCCCCGGCCACTAGCACATCTTGGGGAGTTCCTTGAATTCCTGCTCTGGGTTAGGGGCTGACGCCAGGAGAGGTGGGCTGCACCTTGAGTGCACCGGAGGGGTCAGCCCACCTCTGAGGACAGCCTTGGCCCCGGGGAAGTGGGGGAAGAACCTGCGAGGGCAGTAAGGGCGCAACACGGGGAGCATGCCCACGGCGGGCGGGGCTGGGGAGGGGAGGCTGAAAGCAGCGCTGGGACTTTCTAAGACAAACTCGCCCTCCGGCCTCCGCTGCCAAGTTTGGCTCAATACAAAGAATTTTCTAGAGCCTTTCAGACATACAACGCCATTCATTCTCCCCAGTGCCACATTTTCTGAAGTCTCTCCCATTTCCTTCCCCAGCGCTGTCCCCTGCACATGGACCCTGCCCACCACGACAAGCTCGCCCACACCATTCAGCCTGCAGGAAAAGGGGCACCAGCCAAGGGCAGGGTGGCAGCAGGCCCACCCACCAGAGGGCCAGCCAGGACCCCTGAGGAGCTAAGCCAAGAGGCAGCTGACGCAGCCAGCAGTCCTGTGCCAGAGGGGACCGGCACTCCCTCCGCAGAGGGCGCCACGTGGGGTGCTTGGGCAGGGGCTCAGGGACCAGGGTGGCAGGGGAGACACCTCAGGGATGGATGGAGAACCCAAAGCAGAGGTCTTCGCTGGGGAGAGCTCTCCTTTTGTTTGCAGGCAGCTCTAGGGACCCCCAGAAGCAACACTTTCTCTAAAAGGAAAAAGTGAGCTGTGGGTGGCTCCGGGCCAGGGGGCTGACTCAGGAGCAAGAACCTCCCCCACCCAGAGGAGCTCAGTGATTTCACACCCTGTACAGTCAGCAGCCCCTGCTCCAGACCCGAGGTACACACCCCACGCCCTCACGCAGAGCCCCGCCTTCCGCTGCAATCCAGCCCCCCCCCCAGGTAAAACACCCCCTCCCAAGACTGCACCCACCCCAGCCCACACCCAGCAGCCACACACTGAACCCAACTCAAGACCCTGAGGCGCACACCAACCAGAAGTCACCAAATCAAAAACACAGGGGCCTGTGCCGGCGAGGTGACCCCCACACCAAGAACCACAGCCAGCACAGCGTGGTGAACAGCAGCTGCCACAGCGTGTGCTCCCCAAGTGCTAACCCTGGTGCTCGGCACTGCACACACCACGGTCTCTAGCCCTGGGGGCAGGCGGTACGCAGCTGATCCAAAACGACAGATCTGTAGACACAGCACCTGGGGCGAGGGGGGGGCTGCGCCTGACAATCAGAGCTAATTTACTTAAAAGACCATGAAATTTGTGTTAGGCTACATCCACCCCCCCCCATACACACACACACACACACACACACACACAGTAGAATAAACACATAAAAGGCAGGAATACCCCAAAATAAATATTTAAATTTAAAGCCACAAACATTTCAGAAAATACAAACGTTCTTGCCTTGCCCAAGGATCAGCCCTCGGGCCAGAAGTGACAGTCTCTAAAAATAAACCCTTGTACAGAAGCCCACGGCCAAAAACAAGTGATTAGACAACCACAGAACAGGAACATGCTGATCGACACACACACACCACAGCAGCCCAGTGACATCATCAAGAGCCCGCACAGAGATTGCAAGCCAGGAGGCACCCACGGACCCCACACCCACTGGGGGCTAGATGCGCTGCGGTCCCTGTGCGCAGCAGAACCAGCTCTGCCCTCAGTTTTCCCTGAGGCTTTGGGACCTCAGCCAGCAGCCAGCCCCGAGTGATAAGGGGCCACAGTGTTACTGTGGTGGCCCTGGGTCACAGGGCTGGGGCAAGGTCTAAACTGGTGGGAGGCAGCGGGGAGACTGCCTGATGATCCCCACCACCTGATGCCCTGGCCCTTCCGTACCCCTCCTGGGCATGCCTCATTTTCATCCATTACGAAAATGCCAGCGTTAACCCTGTTCCGCCCCGTGATTGACCCACACGGGCTACTGTTGTAGCGAAATCAGAAACAATGACTGCTAAATCACTAAGGTGCAGTAAGAAAATCGAAGAGGTATAAATTGTTTAATTAAATCCTGTTTGTTAAATGCAAATGAATGTGTTTCTTGCTGTCCTCAAAGAAGGGCCCAGTCGCTGCTGACGGCCCTGTGCTGGCCACAAGGGCCATGTGCTCCAGGCCAGTCTGCCTAGAACTGAGTGCCCTCCTCTTTGTAATCAAGGGCAGGATCAAGGACACGAGGGCTGCCCAGCCCCGGAGGGCTTTGCAGCATCCAGCATGTGGGCACGACCTGTGGAGCAGCTCCCCTCCCCCTGTCGCGGAGATGGAGGTAAGTGCCCCCCACACACACACACACAAACTCGTCCCTCCCTCTCCCTGTCCACCACGACCACATTAAGAGCTATTTACCGGACCACAAGAAGCCGGAACTCAAGGCTGGTTTCAATCTATCACGGCAGGAAGGGCAAAAGAGAGAGGCAGACAGACAAGGACAAGGATAAAATCAAGGGGGGAGGAGGGAGAGAGGACCTGCAGGGGCTGGGGAGATGGCTTGAGGGGCCCCCAGAGCTGTCAGGTCCAAGACCCAGCAGCCTCCACAGGACGGACCTGGCCAGGCCAAGTCACCTAAGGTGAGAAGCCCTTGGTCTCTCAGAGGGAGCGGGGATGGCATGGACCCGGGGGCGGGGCTCTGGCTGCCTGGGGTCAGGGTACTGGCACAGGTGGCCATGGAACCAAATCGAGCAGAAACATAGGCCCAGGCACCCCAGAGTGCAGTGCTCCCAGGCCCCAGCCCCAGCCCGCCCTGACATCTGTCTCAGGGGCCTTCTCCTCACCATTTCTCTGGGGACCCTGAAAAGCCCACAGTCTCTTCGAGGCCCTCTCGCTTTGTCTGACCATCTCCCTGATCTTCTCAGCAGCAGCTGGAAGCCGGGACCCCACCCCCGACGCTATTTGATGACATTCACCAAGGGGCCCTTATTCCACCTCGGCCCTCATCCAGATGTGCGAGTCATGCTTTTGGAAGGATCTGAGGAAAATCCCCAGCTGACTTGGATGCGGACCTACTCCCTGAGGCTCCCGCCCAGTGGGGCTCTGTGCGGAGGTGTGTGTGGTGCTGGACGGACTATGCTGGCCAGGACGCAGGGACGTCCACACGCACCCGCCTCATATACCTTAAAAAGGACCAAAAAAAAAATGGGGGGGGGTGCTAAGGCTATTTGGTTTCAGAGTGGCTATTTTCTAATTTGGATGTTCTTAAGAATCTCCTCCAGGGATTGTAAAAAATGTGGATTCGGGGTCATTGGAGGCCAGGGTGGGGCCACAAGTCAGCATTTTAAAGAGGCCTCCTGGGGTTCAGGCACACGGGTGGACAGTACCTTGGGAAACCCAGACACAGGTGAGCGGCACTCCAGACACTGAGTGAAGCCCCTCCCACTTCCTAGCAGGAAGGGTTTCCTGTAGGTACATGTCCCAACAGATGGCCCAACTGGGAAGCCTAAAAGGTGGCCATCAAGTTGACTGAGAGAAAGGGACCCCTTCCATGACGAGGACTCCACGAGAAGAGACCCCTCCCTGACCCTCCAGCAGGCCTGCTTTGAATAGCAGATGATTTATCGAGGTTTCAGGATGGGGCCCTTGTTGGTAAAAAGCCCTTTGGGTCCATATTCAGCAAATAACAATTCATTAAAAGTCATTACCCAGAGCAGCAGTGACCAACCACCATGGAAGAAAATCAATGCGTTGCCAAGAGGAAGAGGCTCTGTGCCCTCCCTGGGCACAGGCAAGTGGGGGCAGGCTGGGTCCTCAGTAGGAGGGAATCTGAGCCCCTCAAAAATAGGTGTAGGGAATCAAAGGCCACATGGATCCGGGAGATGGGTGAACTTTGTCCAGAAGTGGGGTTTGGCTGAGAGGCAGGCAGGATAGCAAGTTCTGGACACGTGACCCCTTTAGCCTCAGACTACCCCGGCCATGGGGGAGGCAGGGACAAGGGAGCCATAGGATGGGGCTGGGTCCCAGGGAGGACAGAAGGGCTGTGGTTCTGAAGCAGAGATAGAGAGGAAGTGTGTCCTTCCATCGCACCCCTGCAGCCAGACACACCCACTGCTCAGAAAGATGGCCCAGTCCTAATGGCCCAGTCAGCCTGTGGCAGCCACTTAACTGCTCCGAGGCTGGCCTCAGAGCCGCCAGGTGAAGAGGTTGGCTGCTTCCTTGCAGGTCTGCTGAGTGCTGGGTCCAGCAGCTACGCCCCTGGGCAAGGCCAGGCATATCCAAGCTCTCGGCCCGCTTCCTCTCTCCATCCTCCGCCCTCCATCTTCAACAGCCCTCACCATCCACAGGGTACAGCCACCCCGGCCAGATATGCCAGGCCTTTCATCACCAGGTCCTGCCTGCCTTCTGAAGGTCCACTCTCAATACCCCCAACACCTCCACTCCATTCACTAAACTCTTTATACATTCTGCCCTGTGTCTCCACACATGCTGTTCCCACTCCTAAAATGCCCCTCCTCATCTTGCCCCTGAGACTCCCAAACTCCTGGGAAAACC